TTTTTTGAAATATTTGGTTTGAGCCCTGATTTCTCAGAAAGTACTCATACCCAGCTGATGAGCCTAATTTGGGTATAATTCCTCAGAATAAGCTTGACGCATTTAGCAGAATATCAGCTGTAGTCCTTGGCATAGGAACGTATTTCCTTTGTACATAAAGGTGAACGATGGTCTATCACACGCAAACAATTCACAGAAGGGTTCCGAAAGTGTGAACAAACAGTCAAGGACACACTTCTAACTGAACAAGTATAGTTTTCGTGAAGTTTGCTAAGGATTCATGGAGGGGTTTGTACTACATGAGAGTGGTAGGATACGTTCTTAGGCTCTGAGGCAGTCCCTAGCGTACAGAATGGGCGGAAATTTTGCAGAAAAGGAATAGCTGTTATCAGGATACCATTCTTTCTACCATGTTACGAAGCATTTCCAGGGATGGAGAAACGGAAATCTGCGTACATGCGCTTTGGCAGATCAGATCCCGAGCTCGCAGATCAGATGATGATGGAGAAAAGGAAGAGCGCCTATATGAGGTAGGCTTCTAGTTGATACTGAAACCGATTCAGCCAATTTTGAAATAAGTCGATTCTCACAAAGCTGTGGGAGCACCATAGCGTGCACATCACGTCGATGTCTGCAATAGCTCTAGGATAGGCGACAATAGGTACAGTTTTCGCCCACATTGCACAACCCAAGTTCACGGTAAGACAATGCGGTGAAGATTTACCCGAAAATCCATCCTTCCCGACTGAGCCATTGCTCTACATACATACTAATTATTACGATCAACGCTGGAGCCTAATCCTTCTCTAGCCTTCAAAGGATCCGGCATTTAGCCAAACAGAATACGCCCTTAAGTCTACTATGTTCTAGCAGATTTTCCAGCAGTTCTAGCATTCCGAGTAAATCAAGCCTCCAATCTCTAGGGAACTCATCATTCGATATAGGATTCTCTTGGGGAAGCGGAAACACAGATGATGTACAACGACTAGCTCCGGAATCCATAGGAAAAGCTCAAATAATAATCCAATGTCTTTTTAATTTTGAGCACGAACTGAACGTGTGGCGCATCCCAAAGCGGATCTAGTCTGTGCAAAACAAATTAATCGTCAATATCCGAAGAGAAGCTCTCAATAACGTTCCAAAAAACATGAACGATGACCTTTTTCAATATGATCCCATCAATTTTTCAGATTTGGTAAGCGATCTGAGGCTTTAGAAGAAGATCCCATGGATGTTGAAAAACGCAAATCCGCCTATATGCGTTTCGGCAAGAGAAAGAGCGCCTACATGCGGTAGGTCGATGACTTATTACTCCTAGAGCACATAAAAATTCCCATTCTTCATCCCGAATTCGGTTTCTTTTTTAGCACTGTGAGACCAGCCCAGTGCTAATTAAGTTTTGGGAGGGATATGTGAAGAGCCACATTTTTCACAACACAAGAATTAGAGAAGAAGCCAATATTATACCCAAAAGAAGAGCTGAGGTGGGGCGGTGTAGTACCAATCAGCACATTATGATACCTATGGTCAGGAAATCTCAGAGTGACATCTTCTCAGAGTGACATTCATTCCTCCGAGGTCCGTCAGTTGGTATGGGAGGATAAAATCGACACTAACTTCCACATCAGCTGGCCACCGCAAGTCAGTATGTAGGCCACATACACATTCAAATGCCACTACGATTCTGAATACACGTCCAAGGAGAGGGCAGTTCTCAAACCTATGTTGGTATCAATGTTCGCAACAAATGAATAAGTTCCCGTCCTCGCTAAATCCATGTTGGAAAGGAATGAATGAGGTAAAGCATGTCAATCGACGTTTGAAAGGTAAAAGCCCACAACTGTTTGTAAACCCTTGCGGAAGAAACGGAAGGAGCCAAGTTGGGGCAAAACTTCGACCTCGAACGGGAGTCGAACCTGTAAGCTATTGTTTTCCGAGCACCGTGCTCTCTGTGATTGCACTCCCGTGATCCCGTTCGCACAAGCCTTCTTGATGGCTTGTAGTTTCTAGCTAGAAAGCTTGGATTCAGCCAGATATGATCGCAAATGCAGGCAAAGTTACTTTCAAAATAATTTGAGGTCTGAAAAAAAGCAAATGAAAGTTTTTGTTGGGCATACAAAATACGTATCGCTATTCCATCCCAGTAGCCTAAGAAAATCCAATTTAATTTGACTATTCTAGATTTGGAAAGCGCTCATCTGAAGTCGAAGACAGTCCTGATCCGATCGACATGGAGAAACGCAAGTCTGCTTACATGAGGTTTGTTCACGAACTTTTGCAAACATATACCGATCTACCATAACATGCCCAACTCGAAATGGAATATTTGCCTATCTATTCAAACACTTATATTCATATTGGAACTCCTGATGGTAAGGAACTCCAGTGCGGAATGTGCTCCCAATGGAGACAGAAAAAGGTGCCTATTCAGGAGCGTAGCCCACTTTCTATTAGGAATCCTGATGTCAGACAAGAAATTCCATAACACGGTATGTGGGTGTATAAACTAGAACTTGCTATTCTATTGCGACCTATATAAGACCCCACTCCCTTAAGCCATCCATCTATCAGGTGATCCTTGAAACGCCGCAATCGGTGCACGCATTTTCCCGTTCGACGATTCTCCTAATGTCACAACTAGCAGATCCCCACTCCCCAGACTTAAAGCGCAATGTCTAGAAAGGCTCCAGCTCCGCCCCTTTAGCTTGGGCTTTCGACCAGTTTTGTAAACGGAAGCCCTGCCTCTATCTATTTCTCCCAAATCTTTTGAAACTCACCACAACGGAATGTTGCCGCCGCGACATTTGATGTAAGCAGCCCACCTAAAGAGCCTATCTACCTTGCCAGTACATCACTAAGATTTCTGGTTTTCGTAAGTTACTGTATGGGCATTCAAATACAACCAATTCCAGAAAGGTAGTCACGACGTGGCTCACTAGTTCATGAAAAGGTAGTACAACATCAACTCACTCATTTTTACAGCCGATTCAAACCATTACCACTACAAAATTCTTAGCTTAACCCACCATTTCAGGTTCGGTCGCTAACTTCTTCACTTCATTTGTCCGTCATGAACAAGGCCGCGTATAGTATATCGATATACATACATATATCTGTGAAACATCAATTCATTCCATCATATTTTATCGTTGATAGATGAACAATTACATCTACATACATATCCAATTAGTCCATTTATTTTGATAACGCGGCCTTCGTCTTCACCTGACGCTCTTCTGAAACAAAACCAAATGACAATCAGTCTCATCAATGATAACAACATCATCAAGCTCGTGTAATACGGCACGGCTCACAGCTTCGATCTCATTAATTCATTCCCCATCACCACTACATTACCCTATCTATTTCCCATTTAAATCTTTGTGTATGCGTGTGAATGAAACATAAAGTAATTCGTGTTACTACGGTTTCCTACCTATGTGTTGATCAGTATAGTAAACAGTTAAGCATAACTCTATATTACCTACATCCAACTTCAATGACTTTTACATTAAGCGTCCTCAAAAGAGCTCTTTCAACCCTTCAGATCTCCAGTGGGATTGGCAAGGTAGAAAAGTGCTATTACCAATCAGATTTACAGCAAAATCCTGATTAAAATTATCAAATCTCACTTTCTACTCATTGAAATCTTGCCGAAAAAGGCTGCTCTGTCCACGAACTGACAGAAACTTGCCAAACTCAGCTATTGCCACAGTAATACTGAATTACAAATCAATCTCCCTCGTTTATACTACACCGGTGTGTGTAGGTGTATGTACATATAAACAAGCACACAAATAATGCTCAACATACTACAAATGATGACAAAAGCAACCGGCGAGCCCTTCAGTTTACTGGACACCATGAGAGCCAAAAGGCATAAGTTCAAGTTCGACTCCGCTCGGAACCTATTGTTTTGTTCATAGTTATCCGAGGGAACTTGCATATAATTTTAAGAGAATTCCGAAAATTCAAAAATTCTTAGTCATGCTTAAGAGAGCAAAAATGAAAGATTCAAAATCTCATGGGAATCCGGAATTTTGCAACAATTTCATTCAGTCTCCAAAAAAACCTCGTTGAGAAGCCGCATAAGACGCAAAATTAAACTGTAGGAATAAATACCGTAAGGAGTTAAACATCAACGGATTAAAATTCCTTAGAAAAAATGTCAGAAATTTGACCGTTAACTTTACAGGCCAAACCAGAAGCCCACCCACGATTCAGTGAGACACCAGTAAGTAAAAATACATAATAGCAAAAAAATTCTTACTTTTCCTCTTGTATGCTTCGAACGTTGCTGAGATATCCGAGCCTGAACGTGGAGCCAGCTGAAAATAAGAAATTTAGCTGATGAAAATAGCAAAATTAGACATCCCCTTTATTTTTGAACGAACAAAAAGAAAAGAAGGTATTCTACGGATATTCAACACTACTCAAAAAAAAAAAACATTTTGAAAGACTCACTCCGCTTCCACGATTCTGAGAACTGATTTCGGCAGCTTTCACCGACAACTTTGGACTGGACGAACGAGATTTCTGATAAACAATTTATTACTAGAATCACTTCTATGGATCAATATTAGTTTTAAAAAACCCCTGGAACTCACTGACGAAGATACTCCTCTACTTCCACATTCCGAGCATAGAAAGATAAATCGGGGATCGGTGGATTGCTGTGTAGTTATCTCCGGTTTATGGCACCTGCAAATACGAACGATTGATAGGCTATCTCAATGGGTCTTCTTTCTTTCCTACAAAATAAATGCATGCAAGAAAAACGATCCACTGATAGAAGACCTCAGCCGTCGTCAATCAAGGCTGAGACGACAAAAAAAAAACTCTTTGCTTTCTACACTATAAAATGGGTCAATGAATATTCTATCCTGATATATAGAATGAAGGACAAAGTCTTCTACGTTGAAGATCCGCGCTTTTGGGATGAGCCCTGCACTCTACTTCCATTCAAAATCGTAGTAGCTTTTGAATGCGCATGTGGCTTAGCCAATGATGTGCGGTGGTCAACAGCTGTACAGTTCAGTGCTCTTACTCTCTCAAAAGAGCCTGGTATCACTTAATCGACCTAGAGGGACGGAAGGTTTGGTTGGCGTGAACGAAGGTTTCGATCCCTGAACCATGGTAGTGCGCCACCTACCAATACACCATTATTTTAATATAACATATAATATAAAATAAAACCACTAGACTCAGAAACATCTATGTATAGGCCATTGACGCATTCAAACACTACTATTCCAGCAAAGGAGAGTCGAATGCGTGGCACAACTTCTAGTGAAATTGAGCCACCTAGTGAACTCATTTTCAGTGGACAGAGCTGACAATGAGTCCGTGCTCAACTTAGGAAACACACAAAAGTAATGAATAGCAGTAACAATGATACGACAGTGACAACTTATAAATTCCAATACAAGCAGCGCCACGCACCCGAGTTCTATAAGAATCCTAATAGGCTCTGAACACTTACATACCTGATCCTTATGGCCACAATTTCTGATGAAGGAAAACTAAATGAAACCTCTTTCACTCCCATTCAATCCACCCACCAACTCCTAACAACTTCGATGCACCGAAGGTACCGAAGTATCGAGGATACTGTATGCCTAAGCAGGTTCAGATCGTAATAGTACATCGAAGAACCCCTAGTCCTTTTGTCAGACTTTCTTTTTCTCAGACAACTCGAGGATTATCATTTAGTGGCATCCATTTCAACTTATTATCGCTACTTATGGATCTGACAAATGGTTTTAATATGTACTATGGTAATAAAGTTAAGTGTGGGCCAGTGAGTAAGTCAAAGTAATCCGATTGTGAGATTATAAAAACACTGGCACGTTCGTCCTGAAGTCCTATCGAGTACGATAAACTGAGCGCGCCAGTACCGCTTCAGTTCTGGAAGGACGTCGTGTGCATGGCGCATCTCCAGGTGCATGGTCAATTCTGAGCACCTTTCTTTTGTTTACCCAAATCGTACCTGCTCCAAAGTGAAGCGCAGCCTCCGCAATGGGAAAGGCCCGACAGTAGGGTTGCCCCAATTGTACATTGTATACACTAAGTACTGTAAACTATAGAACAGCCACATAAAGGCGGTTACGTTATTTTTTTAGGGTCTTCAGCGTTTTTGACTTCAAGTCGAAGAAATAATAAAACAAAATCCAACATTTCCACTGGCACATCACCCATTCCATGTTTTACCAAAGAGGATTAGCTGCCGTGACAACCAAGATAGCCTTCGAGAAAGTACAGACTTTATTGCCATATCATAAAAACCCCTAATCAAGTTCATAGGATACGTCATTGTGAGCCCGCCCGGTTGAGGAAAACTTCTCAATCCACCTTAGTACGTTTGGAAACAATGATTCACTCTCCTACAAGTTCCATTAAAATTATTGAAAACAAAATCCATGCTAGACCTCGTCATTGTATACAATCTGCTTAGGTTTTGTTCAAGCACACTCCAGGGTTAAACCAAATTGAAAATCAGGCAAAAAGACTAAGCTGTGATGTACAATTTTTCTTTATCCACATTGCGTCA